GGCGGTGCGGTTGGCGCAGGATAGAGCAGGGTTTAGGGCTGTTGTGCATAGGGTCGCTATGAGTCGGAAACGACTCGACGGCACATAACAACAACAACATTTACCTTCGAGCATGTTTCTGATTTCTTTGTCATGCGTGACTTCTTTTGCTGTCTGTCCACTTCCATTAACAATAGTCGCATCAGCATTATATTCAAAGAGAAGCATCACCAACTCCTGAAAGAACAAAGACATTCTTTTCAGGTGTTTTTAAGTTAAGATGTCACTGTACTATGAACATACTCATTTCCAAATTGCCAGTGCTCCTGTGTGTGCCTCTAACAGTTGCTATCTAGTCAACTGCAGATCACAGCAGCCCACATGTGTTAGAGAATTGTACTCAGAGTGTCTTCAACTGCTTACTTTTCCACAGAAGGTCAACAGGCTTTTCTTTTATAGAGCCTTAGGGAGAACTCAGCTTTAAATCTTTTGGTTAGCAACTGAATGAGTTATTTGTTCCATACAGGGACTTGTAACAAAAAAATGTATTGGAATATTTCTAACACACGAGGTATATGGTCAAGTGATAAGGAGTTGTGCTGCTAATTCAAAGGCAAGTAGTTTGTACCCAATAGCTGCTCATCAGAGAAAGATGGGCTGTCTGCCCTGTACAATTTATAGACTCTGAAAAGCTGCCGGAGGGTCAGTTCTGACTGGAGCACACATAACATCAATAGTAAGTGACTGAATAATTGCTTGTCCAAATGTACAAAAATGTCTGGGCCCCTCAACTTGGTTCAAGCAATCCAACCCACAAGGTTCCCTGGCACATCCTGCAAGAAGACTGGACCACAGCTTCACTACCGCTCTGCCCACGTCATCATTTTTACCATCCCCTCCCCCAAAGGATTGATCTCAATTAACCTGATGACTATTATTCTTTATCTGAGTCAGCTTCTTGCTTGGGACACTCAAGACAAAAATATGTCAGTGGCATGAAATGAAATTATACATGTAAAGTCACTTAGATGTTCTTTTTGTTGTTGTTCTTGTTAGATGTCATTTAGATAGTGCCAGCCAAACAGTGCACACTCAGACATAAACTTGAAAAATGGAACCCAAGAGTACATGTGTCTTCTATAAATCAGGTAAAAAATTAATAATTCTTGGGACATAGAACACAGGAAATATTTGTTTTCAGTGTGTACTCAATTTTGCTGAGTGCCACAAATGATGTATTATGCTTTCTACGTGTCCTCATTTTAACGCTAACAACCAAAAAGAAAAAAAAATGTGAAAACAAAATCTAATTCTAAATGCAACATTTTAAAATCTTGGAATTTTTACCACAACACTGATGTTACTACCATTTGATGTAATTTTGTCCAAAAAAATTACACATGACATGAAAGGACCTCTAAATATCACTATCATTCAAATATATGCACCAACAACTAGAGCCAAAGAGGAGGAAATTGAAGATTTCTACGAACTTTTGCAGTAAAATATTGATCAAACATGAAATCACTGGAATGAAAAAGTTGGGAACAAGGGAGACGACCAGTAGTCAGGAAACACAGACTTGGTGACAGAAACTAGTCTGGAGATAGAATGATAGAATTTTGTACGATCAATAATTTATTCATTGCAAATACCTTTTATAAAACAACATAAATGGTGACTATACACATGGACCTCACCTGATGGTCTGCATGGTAATCAAATTGATTACACCTGTGGAAAGAATCATTGGAGCAGCTCAATGTCAGCTGTGAAGGACAAGTAATGTGCTGAAGCTAAAGGAAAGGAAAGCAAAGTCATGAGAACCAAAATAAGACCTTGAGTCTATCCCACCTGAATTTAAAAACCATGTTTGCAGCCTTGAATACTAATGAATGAAGATCCGATGAGCTATAGGATTCTGTCAAGAATATCATCCATGAAGAATGCAGAAGGGCATTATAAAGACAGAGGAGGAAGGAAACAAAACAAGATGTGCTAGACTAGGAGTTGCCAAAACAAAAGGAAAAAATCAGGAAGTGACACAGTTTACAGAATATTGAAAAGGGCAGCATGAGAAGAGAAAGCAAAGAATTATAATGAAATGTGCAAAGTGCTGGAGTTAGAGTATCCAAAGGAAAGAACTTGCTCAGCATTTCTCAAGTTGAAGGAACTGACGAACAAATGTAAGCCTTGAATTGCATTACTTAAAGATGCTATGGGTAAAATACTGAATGATCTAGGAAGCATCAAAATAAGATGGAAGGAATATACAGAGTCATTATACTAAAAAGAATTGACTGGCACAGCCATTTCATGAAATAGCATATGATCAAGAGGCAATATTAATAAAGGAGGATGTCCAAGCTGCTCTGAAGAAACTAGTAAAAAAAAAATAAACCCCAGGAACTGATGAAATACCAATTGACTTATATCAACAATCAGGATGTGCCAAGAAATCTGGAGGAGAGCAACCTGGTCATCTGACTGGAAGAGATCTATATTTATTCCCATTCCAAAAAACTATAATTAAATATAGTGTGGAGATTATTGAACAGTATCACAATCAAGCAAAATCTTGCTGGAGATTATCCAAAAACAACTAGAACAGCGGGTCAAAAAAGAACTGTAATAAATACAAGCTGGGTATAGAAGAGGCCATAACATCAAGATATCATTGACAATGTCAGATCGATTCTGGCTGAAAGCAGAAAGTACAAAAATATTCTATTTGTGTTTTATTGACTACGCAAAGAGACTGGACTGTGTGTATCACAACAAATTGTGGCTAATACTGAGGCGAATGGGAATCCCAAGAATACCTGACTGTGCTCATACGAAACCTATACTGAAAGCAGGAAGCTATTGCCCAAATAGAGCAAGGGAACACTGCATGGTTCAAAATCAAGAAAGACATGTGTCAAGGCTGTACTTCTTCTCCATATCTTTTCAATCTATATAAAGAACAGATCATCCATGAGGCTGGAATTTATAAAGAAGAATGTGGCATCAGGATTGGAAGAAGACTCCTCAACAACCTGCATTATGCAAAAGACACAACCGTGCTTGCTGAAACTGAGGAGGACTCGAAGTGTTTTCTGGAGAAGGTCAAGGGATGGTCATGTTACTAGAATAAAAGCATGATGTTATTGTTAGGTACTGTTGTGTACAATTCATAGTGACCCTGTGAAGAGCCAACCTGAAACCTGCCCTATCCCATGCCATCCTCTTCAGCTCTGAGACACTAGAACCCACTGCTGAAGTCACAGTGTCAGTCCATTTCGTTGGGTCTCTTCTTTTCACTGTCCCTCAATCTTTCCCAGTATGACGTCCCTCCAAGGAACAGCCTCACCTAGCTACATGCACAAAGGATGAAAGATGAAGCTTTGCCTCAAAGGAGCACTCTGACTGCACTCTTTCTAGGACTAGGCACTAAACAGATTCTTCTTTGGTGTTGCTAGTGACTCTACCATGAGTGAATCTTATGAAATATAAATTATACTTCATTGAAATTGCTTTCAAAAATAGAAATAAGTTCACCACTCCTGTAGATATTCATGGAGCTCCGAAGGGTAGTCTATAACATACTATGCTGTGAATCTGAAAGATGTGCACCTCTCACAGACCAAATCCACCAGCAGCTCCAAGAAGGAAATACAGGCAGTTTCCTCCCATTGCAATTTACAGTCTTGGAAACTTGAAAGCAGGCTGTTACGGAACAGCAGTGAGTACATGGGAGAGCAGGTATCAAGCAGACACCAAATAATCTCCTTATCAGGGATTCTAGAGAATGGAGCACTACAGGACCTCTAAGACCTTATGGCCTTTTGATGCCAAGTGCTGGCTTATACTTTTGCATGTGTGTTGCTTTTTCCAGTTGCTCTTCTGCTGGTCATAACAGACAAAAAAAAATACGTCACTTTTCTTCCACATATTTTACTTGTGGAGCCTTAAGTATAAATTATTCACCTTTCGTCCTGTAAAGGCAGCTCGGTGAAGCGGCGTATCTCCCATGTCATTTAACACATTTACATCAGCACCAGCCTAGAAAACACAAAAACAAAGCAAACAAGTTTAACAGGACTGCAAGTAATAAATGTTGGTGAGGATGTGGTGAGATAGGAACTCTGTTACAATCTTGGGGGGATTGTACAATGGTACAACCACTCTGGAAGGCAGTTTCTCGCATCCTCAAAAAGGTGAACATAGAAATTCCATATGACCCAGCTATTCCATTGCTTGGAATATACCCCAAGAAAATGAGAACTCAGGCTCATACAGAAACCTGTACACCAATGTTCATAGCAGCATTACTCACCATCACAAGAACATAGAAACAACCCAAATGTCCAACCACAAATGAATGAATTGAGAAGATGTGGTACATTCATACAATGGAATACTATGTAGCATGCAGAAACAATAATTCTGTAAATTACTACCTAACTTAGGAGGGATTGGAGAGCATTATAGTGAGTGAACTAGCTCAGTCCCACAAGGACAAATACTGTATAAAGCCATTATTGTTGAATGAGTGTGAGGATCCAAGGCACAGGGGAGGGTGGAAATAGAGGAATGAGCCTGGGAGTGGGGCAGGGTGTTAATCATAGGTTTGAACAATTTGATGGGTAAATAGGGGTAAAGGAAATGGGAAGAATCTTTTGTGAAAAACAATGTATTCAAATTTTGTAAATAAATCAGAATAAAATTTTAAAAAGAGTGAGAAAAAGAAAACCAAAGCAAGCAAACAAAAATCTTTGGTATTTACTGGGAATATATCCCAAAAAGACCATAACAGACATCCAAGCAGATATATGCACACCCATGTTTATCACGGCTCTGTTCACAATAGCAAGGAGTTGGAAACAACCCAGGTGACCATCAACAAACGAATGGATAGAGAAGCTGTGGTATATTCACACAATGGAATACTATGCTGCATTGAAAAACAAGGAACTCATGCAATATTATTCAAAATGGGTGACCCTGGAGGACATTATGCTGAGTGAAATATCTCAGTCGCAAAAGGACAAATATTGCATGGTGCCACTGTTGTAAAATGGGACTGATATCAGGGTTGGGGTAAGACTGAGAAAAACTGGATAAATTGTGTATATTGCACTGAAACAGATGAGGGAGTGAATAATTTAAAAGCAATGTATGATAGGGTATTGCGGTTATCACAAGAGTCCACAATTAAGGTTGCATAGTGGAATGTACTTGGGGCGGCGGGAGGGGTGCAGGGGGATTGTGTATCAAGGAGGGAGTGTTTCTTTTACTTCTGGAGGAGCAAACTGGGGGCAGGGGAGGGCTGGACGGGGAGAGAAGTGCAGCAATGAATGAATGAAAATCCAAAATCTCTGTAAATGCTCACTAAAATTATTTAATAAAAAAATTATGTCAAAAATTAAAAAAAAACTTTGGTATTTTTCACACATCATGAAATATACAAAAGTGAAAAAAAAATCCTTATAAATGCAGGTAGTTCCCTGTTTAAAACATCTGACATACGTACAACAAATCAACCCTATGTAAAGCATTTCTTGTGTCATGTATTGAACTGTGCCTCCACAAAATAACTTATATGTAATAATACATAAAGTATGGAAATTTTGCAATGATTCCCCATGATTTCTAAGCTGAAAAATTATAAGACAATTAAGGTAGGACGTAATACTCTTAGTTCCATCACTGTCCTAATAGGAGGGGAATTTCCATGGAGCTTGACTTATACAATCTTTTATCTCAGAAGAGATAAAAGGAGAGAAAAAGGAACAGAAGAGGGGAATGTCAGAACCACCAAGGCATAAGAGCCAAGGGCAAAGTAGCCCATTGGACCCAGGTCCTTGTGGTGAGAAATTCCTTGAACCCAACACACAGGGAGATCTTCAAGGAATGCTAGACCTACAGATATTGAAGGAAACAAGGGCCTTCCTCCAAAACCAATAGAGAAAGCATGCCTTTTCCTAGAGTCAGCATCCTGAATTCAGATTTCTGGCCTCCTACACCGTGGAGGAATTTCTATGTGCTAAAGTAATTCACTTGTGGTACCTCTGTCATCACAGGAACAAATAATTAAACAGTTATGCTCAAAAGGTTACTTTTATGAATGGCCTACCTTGTTCTCAGACACCCCTCCAAAATACTGAAGAGCAACGATGTCAGTCTGGAGACTAAGGTATGCCTGATATGGGCCATGGTTTCTGCAATTACTTTCTATGCATCAGAGCGCTGGACAATGATTAGGGATGCTAGAAGAAGAACTGATGCCTTTGAGCTGTAGTGCTGGAGAAGAGTATTGACTGCTAGGAGAATAAAGAGGTTTGTCCTAGAGAGAGTGAGACCAGACTGCTCCTGGAGGCAAGAATTCTGAAGCTTAATCTGATATACTTTGAACATGTTGCAAGGAGGGTCAGTCATTGGAGAGGGACATCATGCTTGGGAGGGTAGCAGGACAGCATAGGAGAGGAAGACCCTCGATGAGGTGGATTGATTCAGTGACTGGAGTAGTAGGGTAGGTGTGTCAGAGACAGTGAGATTGGCACAGGATAGAGCAGGGTTTAGGGTTGTTGTACATAGGGTTCCCATGAGTCGCAGGTAACTAGACAGCACATAACAACCACCTTGTTCTCACTAACCAAAAGAAATCTAAAATAGATTTTCATTTTCATGGAAAAAGGTAAAAGTGGAACTGGTGCCCAGCCTTTGTTCTCAGTGAGCCATTAAAGTGGCAGTGTGTGCCCTGAGCAGGGAAGCAGCATCACCAAGCTCCATTCGAGGAACCACATCCAACATCTCGGCATCGAGATGTCAAAGTTCTTAACTGTGCCTGTAAATACTATATATATCAGTGTTATTTTAGGTCTTCTGTGTTATTTCGTATAATTGGGTAGTATACATTATTTAGTATGCTCTTTTTTTGGAAATGGGAACACTCAAAATTGTTTCCATATAAATTATAGTAATTTCTTCTTTGTTTTATGTCATTTTGACTCATAAAAGGTTTCACAGAAAAGTTCTACTTTCATATAGATGAGGGGAGCAGCACATCTTAAAACTATGAAGTACATACAATGGTTTATAACAGCAAATGAGTTCTACCTTACAACCAGCATCAAAATATTATTGTTATTGTGCTGTTGTATTAAATATATTTTAGTGTATCTTAAAGCTTTCCTTTTAATGCTGTTTATGGGCAGAAAGGTACACTATATACTAAGACAAACATCTGACTATATATTGAATTATATTTATCAAGTCGAACTTACATACAAATTTTATTTAAAGAGAAACGTAGGTATAGAACATACTCAAAATTTGAAGACTTCATGTATTTAAAATATTAAAATATCTGTTTAAAGTGATTGTCATCAGCAAAAACAAATTTCATTCATATTAAAAATAGTTGCGGGCTCTGGAAGCATAGTGGCAAGAAGCTGCACTGCAATCTCAAAGGCACATGGTTCAAGACCACCTGCCGCTCTACAGAAGAAGGAGGGGCACTCTCCTCAGGTGCATTTAACTGCCTCTGAAAACTCTTTGGAGGATCGGCTATGACTCGGTTCCAACTTGATGGTACACAACAACAAAATAAAAAATAGTAGGTTTCCTAGAAAGTTTAAAAAAATCTACCTACAAGACAGAAAATTGAAAGGAAAGATACTTAACATTTATGATTTAGGGAGCATCACTTTATTTTAGAAGCTGTGGTGTTAGCCTCAAAGTTGGCTTTTTTAAGCCAATACAATTAGCTCCCTCTGGTCTCCAGATACCTTAACTGCAGGCAGATGATCTTGCAAATTATCCACAGCTGTGGGACTAGGATAAGAGAAAGAGTGCTTCCCACACTGAGTGGCAAGATTTGAATTGAGGTGGAGCAAGACTTGCAGTGGCAAGATTTGAAGGAGACTGTGGAGCAAAACCCTGGTGAGAGCGAGATCCAGTGGTGGTTGTGGTTGAGAGACTGTGGCATTGCTGTGGAGAAACTCTGGCAAGGTGACTTGAGCCTTCTTGGACTCGAGCTAGTCATAGTTGAAAGTTTTTGCTATTCTTGCCATATGCTTGAAAGAGAAGCAAACCTTGCTGGATGATTTGAATTTGACTGGTGAACTGAAACCAGAGCCTGGACTAATTGAGACACTGTGCTTTAGGACAATTTAGCTAAAACCTGGACTTGTATTGGGTAATATTCTTTGCTTCCCCTACTCTCCAACTTACTTCCCTAATAAACTTCATTCTCAGTACCACAACTGCAAGCCTGTGAGTCAACAATGAATAAATCAACCTCTTGCTACTGGTGTGACTCTAGAGGCACCACAGGGCTAGGCTATGAACTCTTTATCTGCTTTCAATTCTAGGGTGGTGAGGAGCTGTGCCATTCTCATTGCCTCTAGCCCTTTCAAAGATACTTACTTGATACATACTGTTTTCTCCTCTTTAGATAGAAGGCTTTGTACTGAGAAAAAGGAAAAATTATCTCTAAACACTTCCCCCCCCCACCATGAACTCAATAAGTTTTCAAGGTGAGGCCGGGGGTTGGCGGCAGAGGGGGGGAATTGATGTCACCACTTAAACGTATCTTTTAAAAATCAAACTCATTGCCACTGAGTTGGAACCAGTTCATAGCTGACCATCCGGTGGGTTTTTGGAGTTTATAAATGACATGGAGTAGATAGTCTACTTTTCTCCTGAGAAGCTGGTGGATGTCATTCTCCAAGGAAGCAATGCCTTTGGGTTAGCAGCAGTATTCCATGGACTATGCCAGCAAATCTCTTTTAAATGAACAGATCAAATTTAAGAAGCAGCCACATTTTAGAAATTCTGATATGTGAAAAACTATTCCACCTAAGACTGAAAAATACAAGCTCTTAAATTGGGACAGTACTCCATAGCAGAGTCTGGCATTCTTAATCATTTGGAATTCAGAGTTTTCAGAGGTTTTTTGCTTAACTATTATGCTCACAAACTGATAAATTATCTTCTTTAATTAGTATGTTCATCTTTTCAATTTAAAAAGTCCAGTAAGGTAACAAAATAGGCAAGTGCTATATTAAGTACAATCTTAACAAATTTTTTTTAAAGTGGGAAAATAAAATTAGTAGTTTTAAAAACAGAAGATAGAAAATATATCATTGTTATGATGGTAAACCCAAGTCACATATATAGAAAGGAATAATTAGGTGTCCTTAATGGAGTAAGAAGCTGCGCTGCAATCCTCAAGACTTGCAATTCAAATCCACCTGCTGCTCCACAGGAGAAAGATGGGAAATCTCCTCCCTTCTGATTAACTGCCTCTCTAAAAACCACCGGAGGATCAGCTATGAGTTGGTACAGCCTCGAAGGTACACAACAACAATAACAAAGGGGCATTACTGCCTCAAATAAGCCATTATGGCTTGATTGACCTTAGTAAAACTTTTGCAGTATTTATTATATTCATTTACATGTACAAATTAAAACCGTAAACTCACTTTCAACAGATCCTGGACCACTTGTCGATGTCCGAAATAGCATGCCAGATGAAGAGGTGTCCAGCCCAAATTAGACTTAGATCTTCCTAAGAATAGAAGAACAAAAAAGCAATTCAATGTCTCATTGTTATTTAGGAAATATTAAAATAAAATTAACTTTTTCCTGACAAATGATATTAAGTACTTTGGCAAATGCCTTTCATTAATATTGCTTTTAAAGGAGTAAGAGAAAAGAGACATTAGGATAAAGTAAGTACTGTGAACAAATTTATTCTTAAGATTATCTTGAAATTCAGGTAGAATATACTCAAGGCCATACTATGTTTTCATCAACTTATTACAACTTTTTCAGCTTTAACCTGAACTTGCATATGAACTGCTATTACACTGATGGCCCCTAGTCTTGTTCTGGCTGATGATACCAAGTTTCTCAATGTTTCTTTCCATAAATGAGAGCATTCTCAATCGTCTCATTCCACAGACGTGCTATTAATTTGTTCTAGAACACAGAGAAGACAAAGGAAGAAGTAATGAAGTAAGAGAGCTGAACATAAGGTTCCAAAGCAAAGTACTGCAATGAAATGTATAAAGACCTGGTGTTAGAAATATGAACGAGAAGAACTAACCAGGTATTTATGAAGCTGAAATAACTGGATAAAAAAAAATTAAAGCCTTGAGTTGCAATACTGAAGAAACCCGTGGGCAAAATATTGAAGTATCCAAAGAAGACCAGAATACACAGAAACACCATATCAAAAAGAACTGGTCAAGGGGAGCTCTGGTGGCCTAGTGGCAAGGAGCTGCAACTACAATCCCAGAGGCTCATGGTTCGAATCCACCAGACGCTCTGCCGGGGAAGGAGGGAAAATCTCCTCCTGTACCAGTCAGATCTGATTTGACGGTACACTCACATAAAAATAATAAAATTTAAAAAAAAAAAGAACTGGTCAAAACTCCTTTCAGGAAGTAGCATATGACTAAAGAAACAACAGTACTGAAGGAAATATAGCATGTGATAAAAAAAATTATTGAAGGAAAAATACAATAGTATTGAGAGAAGAATAGTATTCAATACAATAGTACTGAAGGAAGAATCAAGCTGTATTGAAGGAAGACACTGATAAAAAACAAGACTCTAGGAATGGACAGAATACTAATTTAAATGTTTCAACAAGCAGATGCAGCTCTGAAGTTGCTCACTTGTCTATAAAGAAAAATAAAATTTAGAAGATAGGCAGCCAACTAAGAGAGTCATATTTATGCCCATTCAAAAAAACTTCATTCCTATAACACACAAGTGAAATCTCACTGAAAAAAATTAGAAAATGGTTGCAGCAATACGTGAACAAGGAATTGCCAGAAATTCAAGCTAGATTCAGAAAAAAGTGCAGAATGAAGGGTGTTATTGCTGCTGTCAGATGAAAAGCAAAAATACCAAAAAGAAGCTTATTTATATTCTATGGATTATATTTAACTGTACAGATCATAACAAACAATAGCTAATGCTGTAATGAATGGGGATTCTAGAACAGCATAATCTCTACACAAATTAAGGGCACAGTCATTTGAACAGGATAAAAAAAAAGGGAGGGAGATATAATGTGGTTTGAAATCAAGAAAGGTGTAGAATATCCCTTTAGTATCCCTTCTCCACATTTATTCAATTTGCATGCTGGGCAAATAATCTGAGAAGGTGGACTCTATAAGAACATGACTTCAGGAGTGACACATCCATTGCCTCTGAGTCAGAAAAGAACACAGCTGATCCCTCTAGCAGGTTTCCAAGACTGTAAATTGCATGGGAGGAGAGTGTCCACTTTTCTTTTGTTAAATTGCTGGTGTATTCAAATTGCCAGAGAGGTCTAGCCGTTGGGTTCACAGAGCAACTTCTGGAAGACTATGCCACCAGAGATCATGACTGGAGGGAGAGTCACTAACAATCACAGGCGATACCAACTGCAGAGGCACAGCCTTGCTTACAAAAACAAAGCAACAGTACAAAGTATTTACTGATGAAGATCAAGGACTCTAGCCTTCCAAATGGATTCTATTTCAGCATAAGCAAACAAAAATCTTTACAGCTCAATCAAAAAGCAATTATTATGATAAATAGAGAAAAGATTGAAGTTGCCACAGATTTTATTTTCTTTGGATCCACAAGACAACACTCATGAAAGCAGCAGTCAGTCAAAGGATTAGATGTGTTTTGCACTGAGAAAAATGTCTTCCAAGGACCTTCTTAGCTGAAGAGCAATAAAGTCACTTTCAGAACTAAGGTGTACCTGGCTCAAGCCACGGTGTTTTTCAATGCCTTCATATGCATAGGAAAGCTGGAAAATGAATGAAAAAGACTGAAGAACTGATGTCTTTGAATGGTGAAACTGTGGTACTGGTGAAGTATACTCAATGTACCATGGACTGCCAAAAAACCAAACCAATCTGTCTTGGAACAATATAGCCAGAATGCTTCTTGAAGGTTAGGATGCTGAGACTAAGTCTCACATACTCTGATTGTACTATTAGAAGGGCCAGTCCCTAGAGGGAGATAAGGAAAAAAAGAGGAAGACCTTCAAAGAGACACTGTGGCTACAACAATTGGTTCAAGCACAACAGCAACTGTGACGATGGTGCAGGACCGGGCCCTGTTCAATCTCTTGTACACAGGGTCACTATGATCCAGCAACAAACTCAGTGACAAAGAGCATAATGACTGTAACTCAGTAGACCGAGATTCTCGATGCCACCATTCTCACTCAGCTTCCTCTTTAAAAGGATGAACAGAGCTAGTGGTGCACTGCTGGGTTTGAGTTTGGTTTAAAACAGTGGAGGAAGTAAGTAAGCATTATATTCTAGCCAGACAATTTCTACTGAGTTTCTGGCTTTGGGTCTAGGGTTTTAAGTTGCTAACCACCTTGCAGTCTTCCAGTAAAGGTGATGTTTCCTTGGCATAGTGTTTCCTGAGGGACAACTGAAAACATGTTCCATGGAGAAGGATGAATGACAAAGGATACTTGGTAAAGAACATTTCCTAAAGCATTTAGACAAATGTTAGCTCTACAAAGAGTGACTGTCACAAAATCTTCCGACTTAAGACAAAATCTCAGTTAATGAGGATTCTGGTTTCCAAGAATGGTAGAGATTTCAACTACATGGCAAGAACTAAAGTGAAAACCAATAAATACATCATAAGATCCTAGCAGTAGTGCTAAGGAGAAGTACAAGAAAAAATTAAGTGCTGCAAAAACTTAAACCGTCAACTGAATTTAGCAAAAAGTCATAGGGTGTTAACAGCCAGAGGTGACCTAGCTCGAAAAATTTATCAGACATACAAAGAAGGCTTGAGAAACACAGCCTTTCAAGTTGTAAAAGCCCAAGACTCTGTTCTGCCAAAAAAACCACACATATGTCGTGGAGAAGTGTAGCCAGACGTTTTCTTGGAAACTCTAGGCAAGTCCGCTGTCAGGGTTCTCTCCAAAATGCTGAGCAGCAGTGATGTCAGTTTGAAGACTAAGGTGGATGTGCCTGATTGAAGCCATGATCATTTCAATTACTTGCTATGCATCTGACAGCTGGATAATGAATAAGTTTGACAGAAGAAGAATCGATCCCTTTGAGTTGTAGTGCTGGAGTACTGAATATCCCATGGACTGTCAAAAGAACAAACAGGTCTGTCTTGGAAAAGGTGCAGGCGGAATATTCGCTGGAGGCAAGAATGACAAAACTTCGTTTCTCATCCTTTAGACGTGCTGCTAGGAGAGGTTATTCTTAGAAAAGGATATTGTGTTTGGAAGGTCCCTCTTTGGAGGGTCAGCCAAAGAGAAGAGCCCCATCAACATGGATTGACACAGTCACTGCAGCAAGTGTACAACACAGCGTACTACACCGCGCTCAAGTCAATCAGAGTAGTGAGGATGGCACAGGGATTGCGCGCTCATGTGAATCAGAGTAGTGAGGATGGCACAGGGATTGCGCGCTCATGTGAATCAGAGTAGTGAGGATGGCACAGGGATTGAGCAATTGAGGCCCACTGTTCATAGAGTCAATTATGAGTTGAACTCCACTCAAAAGCACCTAACGCAGGGCCACTTCCAAAGGAAGAGACCACAGTTTACTCACCTTTCTCTCTCAGTTTATATACAATGACCTCAACTCTCAGCTTTGAAACCAACAGAAAACCCACCTGTCAACTTCAAACAGACCTCAGGCAATTCTGTAAGAGACTTCTACTGCCAAGGGACCTGAGTTTGCCATTTACCCAAATTTCCACACCTGTCTTCTCTCAAATACTTCTACTCTGGAGTCCTCGATTCCACAGAATGTCAGTCGTTTACACTGAATCTTCTGTGAAACCTTTATCTCCTGATGACAATTCCCCTTTAGTCCTTGGGTCCAAGGCTACATCTCTCCTTCCCAAAATACCTCACAGAACAGAAGCACTGTGAATCTACCACATTCTTGAATCCTTTATTATTTCACTCATGAGGAACTCTCACGGTGCAACAAGTAAGCACTTTAGATCTGAAGCTCTAACAGCTTCCAGCCAGAATCTCTAAAGACGCCAGGCCATGAAGTCCTATGGGGCATGTTTTACTGTCAAGGAGCACAGGAGGGGGTCACTGTAAGTTGGAATCTACTCAACAGTAACCACCACTCCACCCTGTCTACCACTCCTCTTTCTCTGTGACTCCTAGCCTTAAGGCAAAACTTCCTCAAACTCTGCAATTGTCAGCCAGCCTCCCAGTATCTCTTCCCTCACCAAGCAACATTGGACAACAGGCTCTCTCCACTGCAACTCCTGGGAAAACAGGATCAGTGAGAGAGAAGACCCTCAATAAGATGAACTCATGTAGTAATTGCCACAACAGGCTTGAGCACAGCAGAGATTGTGAGGATGGTGCCAGATGGGGTCACTATGAACACTAAGTAACTATCCACACTAAGTTACTATGTAGTTGACTGGTTGGCATCTAACAATAAAATGCATGGCTTAAAATCAAAGAAGATGTGTCAGGACTGTATTCTTTTATCATATCTATTCAATACCTACACTGAGCAAATCAATCAAGAAGCTGGATTTGATGAACAA